AGCATCAGCATCATCTGCAGGTCCTTGGTGCTGCCGCCACTTGGAGGGCCTTGCCGGCGCGCCTTCGTTTCACACTCCCGTCCTCCTAAGGGCGTTGCCCGCCCCTGGGCGCAGCCCTTCAAATAATTTCTCAGAGGGCAGAAAGGAACACCGTGGCCTCCGAATGCAGAAACTGCAGCAGTACAGAGGGTTCCAGCATCCGCCTGCCATGTTGAAGTGCAAATGTCACAACGACAAGCCGCCAGAATCGGCTCTCAGACTGGGCATACTGGGCCTGTCCAAGTCAGGATCCCTCGGACCCAGCACCTCCGGGATACAGTCTTGTCTCCTTTTTTGGGGGCGTCTGGGCTAACAATAGATGTTCCCTATTGCGTTCCTTACAGTCCCATTGCAGCCCATGAGTCTTCGGGTTCGGGCTGGAGTTTCTCAGGATTAAAAACATATTTGTCATTTGGGTAACATCTGCTGTCCTTGCTCGCCTTGGCCCTGGGGCTTGCGATCTTTGTAAACCCCCACCAAAGCCGCTAGAGGCTCCAAAAGCTTCTCTGCAAACACCCGTTAAGCAGATCTCACAGAGGAATTATTCAGCGGAAAGGGGGAACGGTGTTGGCAAAAGTTGGCCATGCTTGCAAAGAATTTGAATTTGCAGTCATGAGAATGGAGTTAATTGTTGATCGGTGTTTGTTCCTGTCGAGCCGTCTTTTGCGATTTGGAGAGTTCTTAGGGTCCCACACTACACTGAAGAGTCACTGAAGAGGGCTTGCCTTTTCTTTGGAGAACTTGGAATAGCGATGCACTTCGGAGATCAAATGGCAGAGCCGTTTCCGCCCACACGCGCCCCCTCTTTTTTGTAGACTTCGGCAGGGCAGCAGGGCCATGAGCCCGTGGTTTCGAGTTTGAAGAACAAGACATCGGTGCGATTCTTGTTGCACTGTCGGGCAAGAAGCGAGAGAGGTTGCAGGAGGGAAGGGGGCCGAACATGGACCAGATGGCAGGGCGGATAGGACACAATGGGCCCAAGACCATTTCACAACAGCAGAAAGAAACAAAAGTCGGGCGCCTTACTGGCCCCTTCCTCCTCCTTGGCCTTTCCCACCTCCTCCTTGGCCAAGCATTTCTTGCGGCGGGCGTTGGCAGCGGCCGCCGAGCGTGCCGCCTGCTGGAGTGCTCGGAGGCCTGGGGTGCGCGGCCCCGCGCCTGGGGCGCGCGGCACGGCGCCTGACGGCGCGGCACGCTGGCCACAAAGCGGCCGTGGGCGTCGCGCTCGCGCCACTGCGCAGGAGCTGGGTCAGGAGGCCGTTCTGCCGGCGAATGAGCTGGTGGTGGAGGACATGCATCCCCCTCACCACGACCTCACGCGCTGCGTCGGACGACGAGGAAGACGAGGCCTCGGCCTCGTCGCCGTCGCGCCTCGGGGAGAGGCCGACTCCTCCCACGCCACCGCGGCGGCCTCTTCCTCCACCAAAAAACCGGGGCGGCTCATGCTCCTCGGGTGGTCCCACATCCATCTTGACCGTCTTGACCCTTGCCCTTTTTGTCCGCCTTGACCGTCTCTTGTCCCTCCTGTCCGTCTTGCCCGTCCTGACCGTCTCTCGTCCGTCCTAACCGTCTCAATCCTCCAGGCTCTAAGTCAATCTCAAAAGGTCAAGAGGGAAAAGGAGATCAAGAAGGGCGCTTGACCGTCTTGATCGTCTCGTCCGTCGGACAGATGGGCTTTCGGCTGGAGGTTCAAGAAGATGAAGAGGGTCAACAAAAGTGGTTCAAAGGGTCAAAAAGATCAACCAGGTCAAGAAGGTAGAAGGTCAAGAAGGTCAAGAAGGTCAAGAAGGTCAAGAAGGTCCAGAAGGTCCAGAAGGTCAAGAAGGTCAAGAAGGTCAAGAAGGTCAAGAAGGTTAAGAAGGTCAAGAAGGTCAAGAAGGTCAAGAAGGTCAAGAAGGTCAAGAAGGTCAAGAAGGTCAAGAAGGTCAAGAAGGTCAAGGTGGTCAAGAAGGTCAAGAAGGTCAAGCAGGTCAAGAAGGTCAAGAAGGTCAAGAAGGTCAAGAAGGTCAAGAGCATCAAACAGTTTACCGACCCCTCAGAAATTCTCAAGAACACCAAGAAACATTTTGGAGCCTTCGGACTGAAGTTCTGGGCGTTAAGAATGGGTTCTGGTCGTTTTCTTTACATTGTGCCTTTTGCTGACGTTGAAACTGATAAAACTGCCTTCTTGCGCCTGTGGCGCCTACATGTTCACGAAAGGAATGGGTTAAGACGCGGAAGACGGTAATCACCAAAAACCAATAACACAAACTGCCTGGCGTTGTGCTGCAAAGCCCGGCCTTCTGAAGCTCATTGGCTGTCCACGACCAAGGCGGTGGGTTTGCGAAGCTCGACTGGCTCCTGTGTGCTGGCTCTGCGGTTCTGCTTGGTTTACAGCCGTGCAACGCCAGTATGGCTCCTGCGCATCTTGAGCAGCCGCTGAACAGATTCCTCACAGAAGAGACAAAATCCATTCCTTCTCCTAGGACGAGGTCAAGAACTAAAGAAGATTGTCACAATCAGAACCCACAAATTCTAGAACTGGGAACGGTTGAGAGGAAAGCAGGGCACACTTCTTGTTCCATTTCCACCAGACCGAGCAAGATTCTGTCTGGCCCCGAGATCGGGGCGACACTCCACCAAGACACCGAGATCGAAAAGGACGCACGAAACACAATTTCAAGCCGGCGAACCCATCAGCCCCGCTTCTGGAATGAGAAGCCTTCCCCTCAGCGCCCGTTTTCAAGGACACCTCCATGTTGATCTTCTGTTGATCTGCTGAAGTGCAAGGCAAACTAGAACATTTCCACGGCTGTCTGTCTGTCCCTTTCGCCTTGGTGACGAAAAGGAGAGAAAAAGGAGAGAAAAGGGAGAGAAAAAGGAGAGAAAAAGGAGGGAAAAGGAGGGATCGGAGGCTCCAATGGATGCCGCGAAGAAGGGCACTGCGGGATCCTGGAAGTTTTTTCCGGGGCTACACTTGGCGAAGGAAAGGCTTTCGCCATCTTTCGCCACTGCCCCAGAATGGAAATGGTGTCCTGGCTTGAAGTTCACCCTTCTCCAATTGCCCTTGAGTGCGGGAGCCGACAAGGCACAAAACGAGTGAGCACCAACCAAAACTGTCCGCAGCGTAAACCGGCATTCGGAGAACTTTGGACCGTATCTACCCGCTGCCATTATCTCGGGGTCTTGATCAGCATAACTCGCGGCATGTCTGCTAGATTATGTTGGGATGTGCTGGCCCGACATGCTCTTGCCTCCAAAGGAGACGTCCGCGTCCTGAAGAAAGGCCACTGAGGACTCCGGTTGTCAAACAAGAAACCGAAGCTCCTTCGAAGAACTCGAGGCCATCCATCATCCCCGACAATGACCTGTGAGCACTAGGGACAGCTCTACTCATCTCCCTTGCTGGCGTCCGGATTTGTGTTCAACATAGTTCCAAAATTCTCGACCATTTTTGGCAAGAGCTGGAGCGGAAGGAGGACCCATCTTACCGTCTAGGATGCTCGCCTCGAAGAGAGGGGAATAGGCCAAAGCCGGACCCAGATCTTCCTCACCGTCGATATTGAGTCGATAAGATCAACGAGAGGAAACTGTTTCATCCTGAGCTCGTGTCCTCCAACATTCCGTCCGCAATGCTCGGGAAAACTGCCTTCTCGTGTCACTGCCCAGCGATTTGCCTCTGACGTCCTCTTTCACACAAGTGGCCTGCAAGTGGTCGATGACATCCACCGAGTGGAGCCCCTCTGCCGGCTCATCCTTAGAACAGAAAATTGCGGTGGCGATGCGGCTTGAGCCGGCGGCTCGGCTTCATGCTACTCTTATGCTACTCTTTGCCGTCCTAGGGCCATTGGTAAGGAAGATGGAGGAAGCACGATAGTGAGAGCCTGGCACCGAGGTCCGCGAGAAGTGCATGCATCGAGCTGAAGACCGCCTCAAGGCATTCAATCTCTTTCAAGCTGTGCGCAGCAGAGGCAGTTCTTGCAGTTCTTGCCTTCGACTATCATTGTTGACCATGCTGGATCCCATTTCTCGCTCATTGGCTGCCTTGCCCTGACCTGGGGCCTTCCTGCTTACCATTGCCTACCCCATGTCTGCCTGTTCTGGCTCAGAACCCCCCTGGGAAGCTGCACGTCAATGCTTCCTGCCTCTTCCAGATCAGAGGCAGAGAGTAGAACCTGCCATATCTGCCATAGGCCATGACTCCCTCATGCCCGCATATCCAGGCAACAAGAACTCATTCATACGATTGCACACGCAGTTTCAGTTTTGCGGACTCTGCCGGCAGTCTCAAATCAATGTCAGACTTGTTCATTCGAGGTCTGTACAACGGGAAACTTACAAAAGGAAACACTGGCGCCTGTGACTCTCAGTTGCTGCCGTCCCACCACTGGCACAACAGTCTGTGTTTCCAAGGCAGACATTAGCCGCTTAGAAAAGCTGGGGTTTTGACATGCACGGCGTGTCATCCGCGAGGCAAAGCAAACAACACACCCTTGCCCGGCATATCCTGAGGTAAAACTTGAAAAAGGTGCACCAATCCGGCAGAGTATGACACACCAACTTAAGTGGTACCCACGCTGTGACATTCTAAAACTTCCACAGAATATCAGGAGCGCTTCTTCAGGCTCCCGATAAAAAGCCGCCGCTCTCCGAGCGACTACTCCCCAAAGCTCGAAGAGAAAAATCCAGGCCACATCAACTTTGAACATGGCCCCCATGACTTGGGCTTGCCATATACACATGTTCATACTCTTTGTTTCGTTTGTACTTGTCTAGCTGCCCGTGTCGGCTGCCTAAGTGGCAAGCAGCCTCGAGTTGCAAGTCACCGTAGATTAGATCACAGGTACTTCTGCGCAAAGTGCTGTAAGAAAAACACACAATTCAGCACTGTGACGTTGAGGCAGACTTGCTTCTGAAGCTTTCAAGAGACCAGGACTTGGGAAAGGACAAATGCTCGGAACTGGGCAGCCATAGTCAATTGACTAATGGCGCTCGCCAGGCGTCATCAGTCCAAGTGCAGCACAGGTTGTCGGCCCTTGCGGGTGTGAAAGGCCGCCCGGCGCAGATGTCTGTGCTCTGCTCGGGGAGCACCGTCCAGACAGGATGCTTGAAGGACTCTCTTTGTCACCGCTGCACACGTACTTGACCGGTCTGTGAAGGGTGTGCGACACTGCTGCGTCCTGCACCGTCGAGAGAAAGGCAATGAGGAATATCATTGACAAACCTAATTGCCAGCTTCATTGACACCTCTTTATCTGGAAGCTCCCCGCACATCTCCACGCACGCACAGAGCACAGAGCTCCTTGAAGTGCCTCTCATTGTCTTTCAGCCCCTGTACATGAGCAGGCGACACCTCAGGATCAGCTCGGCGACTCATGAACAGCTTGGTAGCCAGTTGCCACCACGATGTGTCTGACGAGCAGCGATGATCGGCTTTCCACCTCTACGCTTGGTGCGATCCTCCTTATCGAGAAAGCTCTTGCCCTCCAGAGTGCTCTGGCACATCCTGCAGAACGCAGCTGCGCTCAAGCTGCACACAGAAAAGACTGGATTCTAGCAGGGTACGCAAGTATCTTTGCGCCTGAAGATGTCAGGTCTGATAAAATTTACAAATGCATAGCCCACATTCATCCGTGTCGATCGGTCCATCCTGAGCCCAAGACATCTGCAGCTCACGAATGACAAGACATCGTAACCTAGAGATGAAGGGTCTTGGATGTTGCTTGAGGAATGACGAGCGTCGGCACATAGACAAAGTCATACCTCACAGGTGCAGCTTGCATCTTCACAGAAAAGCCACATTGACCACCAAAACTTGCAGAGGAACTGGAACTTATCTACGCCCAAAACTGCATGTAAGTCCTGTCAAGATGCAAGCCACGGAAGCCGAGCTGATCAAGCCGCTCCACAAACTGCTTTCGAGTCAGCTGGTTTGGGACATTCCTGGCCAATCTAGGTTCATGCCAGTTCGTTGACAAATTTGCAACTGTGACTTGGACAGAATTCATGTTCTCTCTAGTCAGTGTGGACAGGCACCGGATCATGGCTGTGGTGATCTCGCACTCATCCAAAGCGAACTCCTCCTGATAGCAGCAAAAGAGCGAAGGGCTTCATCTTGTGTTGGGGTTTAGGAATGCACGCCAGCACGGAGTCTTGAGAAGCGCAATGCGGTCTCCTGAATGTTGATCTTCTTCGGAACTCCCTTATGACCAACGAGGCGACGCATGTGCTCAGCTTCACCTGCTCTTGGTTTTTGTCACGCCACGAAGGATTAGGAAACATAAGATGCGCTTTCTTGTGCGGGCCTACGTACTGCTCTGCCACATCCTGTCGGGAATATGTAGCCAAACAGCCCAACACTAGGCAGGACCATCCACAGACCCACGCCACAGTATGCAAAACATTGCAGAGGTGAGAAAGGATCATTCCACATCAATGACGTACATCAAACTTCTGAGACCACGCCACCCTCACCTGACGCTCTTGAAGACATCCCGTGTAGTGAATTGGGGTTCCGTGGCCTAGTGTGTTGACCGAAAAGTATTCTTTTCGCTTTCACCACTGTGTCCACAAGCAGGGACCGTGCAGCTTCTCCGATCTTGGTGAACGTGATGTTGGGGGAGCTCTCTCAACCTGGGCCTGCTCAACAAACTATACAACGTGTCAATGTCGACACAGGAACCATTGATTGAAGGACCGACAAAGAAAGAAAAACGCTTAGAAGCCAGCGGAAGTTCACGAAAGAAAGGACAACAATCGCAGAAGATACAGTACATTTTTACAGTACGAATACGTGTGCCGTCCTGCTCCATGAAGGCAGCGTGAAGCGGCCTTGTGTAGCACTCACTGCCTCTGTAGCGCAGCTGTAGACCAAAAGCATCAGCCAAGGTGCTCCGACTGACGCATGTGAACGTGTGGCACCTGCAGATGAGCAGACGCAATTGCAAATCTTGTAAGAATGCAACATCTCCTCCCAAGCAACGACTTTTGTGAAGCCGAATCTCTCTGTTTTTTGACGGGTCCGAAGACGTTTGCCTGCCAGACTGCCGTATCTGGAATATCTCTTCCCATGATAGGCTTGGATAGACCTTGAGATGCAAAGCTTTCGGACTTCAAGTTCCACTCCAACATCTCCAAGCTCAAACTACCCTACATTTCTCTTGAGTGGCCTCTTTGCGCTCAGGTGCCCACTGCTCGTCCACATATCAACACTCTGATCCTGCGCCACATCCTGTCCACGAAATTGTTGAAGGAAGGGCACGGATAACATGTAAGCAGTTAGTCAATGACTCAGGGCCTGACTGACGGAGGAAATGAAGGAGAGAAAGTAGTAGAGCGAGATAGGGAGCGTACGATGAGGCTCAGGGTTCTGAGATCAAGGGGTGGGTGGTGATCTCGGTCCTTGAAGGTGGTCCACAGTGGAGGCGATTCAAAGGCACCTTCAAGAACAGGCTCCGAATTCAGCACTCTGCGCGCCTGCTCGTCTCTCGCGACCTGCCGAGTATGCCGGAGTACTCCTGAGACGGGAGATCGAAACTGAGCAAACCCATTCAAGAACCAATCTTCTTCCAGGTGGTCTTGGATCACAGTAAGGCTAAGCTGGACAAGCATCAGCGTAGTCTGGAAGACTGCGGAAGAATGTCGCACTCCTGGGTGGACATTCACTCACGGATGACTTGCAACGCATAGCTCTTCATGAACTACCATGACACCACGGCAGCGCTGGCCTGTGACAAACGCGGGGAACACATTACTGGCGCCACATGGGCCCTGACTCGCGCCAGAGGGCAAGACTGTAAGAAAATGACATAGCCCGATTCGCTGAACTCTGCCTCGTCCTGGCTGAGGAGCTCCTCGATGGCAGGGAGATGCAAGGCTGCCCAGCCTGAAGAACAAAATCGAAAACCACAAAAATCACCAAAGGGTCTTCTGACTGCAACAAGGTCTGCAATGGCAGCTCTTCCATTGGCTTGTCAGTGGACACAAAGAACAACACAGCCAAGATACCATCCGAAGACAGCATCTGCGGGCCATCCATTTTCAATCTCACAACAAGCTCCGATAATGGAACTTCCGGCCTTCTCAATCCTAAAACTTCCACAAAGACTTGAGCCTTTCAGAGGCAGAGTTGACGGTAGAAGCCCGCGAGGGCATCCGCGAGCAGCATAGGTTCACGATGGTGCATGTTCCGCTGTTCGCGCTTCCTTTTCGACCTTTGCGGTGCCTTGCTGGTGTTTAATGGCGTCTAAACCATATCAGCGACCTAACGAGAAGGCGTTCTGACGTTTTTTTCCGGACGTTCTCAGAGGCGTCTCATCGAGGCCTCTGCACGCCCGCCGTTCAGTTAACAGCATTGAAAAAAATCAATATTTTGCCCCAGGAATGTCGAGTTGACTGAGCCCCTGGACATGTTTTTTTTAGAGATCCGGCCAAACTCTGCAGGAGGAGTCGCACTCAGCTGGCCTGGCTCGCACGAAGGACCCTTTAGGGTCTTGTGGAGCTCAGACTTCCCTCACTGTCTTTTTGCTGATCATTTCCGCCGCCTTGTTCCTCTGCTCGCACCACGGAGGAAGACACTTGAAGACACTTTAAAAACTGTATTACCCCCTTATGGACCCTGCTGCAGGAGACAAGGCTCTGTGCTTCTCGCTGCTCCAGCAGCACTTGCATGCGGTTCTTCACATCTGGATTGTCATCAAGGCAAGCCATAAAGTGACCTCAGCCACTCCACACTACATGCAAGATACTAGCAACTCATCGGGAGCTTGGACGCGTGGACAGCTGCGTCCCAACCGTTCACACCAACTTCGTGCTCGGTCAACAAAGCTACAGTAGCTGCTGCAGTAGCTGGTACAGTAGCTGCTACAGAGCGTGAGTCGCAGACTGTGGCGAAGCTCCAGGATGTACGCCAGCTCTGACGAGACAATGACGCTTGCACTTGCCATTGTGCCTTTCAGCATGGTGTACCTGAGAATTGGATGAAAATGCACAAGACATCCACAAAACTGAACGCAGCCTTTTTGAGGATTGTTTTTCGCTTCGTGCGTTTCGGCCTTTAACTGAACGAGCCGGAAGACAATCCGATCACCTGTCCCGGTCCAACCGTCGCGATCTCCTCACCGTGGACGGAAATGGCAAGATTGCCGTAACCTCGGGGCTGAGTGCCATGGCTGGCGCCAACAGGCCCATGCGGAGTGTTTCGTACTTCCATATGAATATAGAGAAAAAATCTTCGAGTGCAGCCTGGCTGCCTACAACGAAAAGGGCGCTGTTCTCCGAACCCTCTTCTATCAGCACGGTGCCCTTGCGTGCGAAGACTTTTTGTCCGAATGAAAGCCTGCAGGCCAGACGTATGCATGAGGAGATGCGCGGCAATAACGAGCACACGCCATAGGTGTTCGGCATAGCGATTTAGACCGACGAACTGAGTGCTTTGTGCCAAGCAGATGCACAACAACTGCTCTGCAAACAGTATGCACGCGGAGAGGAGCCTGTGAATCACATCGCTGGGCACGTGCTTGAAGAGGTAGCTGCCTTCCTGCGAGCCAAGGTACCCACATCCCTGCACTTCTCATGGTATGTTCACCTGAGTGCACGACTCCTGCCTCCATAAGGCCTAGAAAATCCACCTTGCCAGCTATCGACCACATTCTGTCATCGAAGTTGTGCTCATGGATGTAGGCAAACTCACGTTCCTGAAGCGGAACGGAGGAAACCGACACGAAACCCACCATGCCCTTTAGTCACAAGATTTCCTACAAATTTCATAGATGGTGGCGAGTTGAGCCAGGGCTCGCCGGTCGTGCTGCAGCGAACCTGTGGGAAACTTCTGAGCTGCACGGGCTTCTCCGGGTGGCGGACTGCAAGTGCAGCACGGCAGGCTCAGCTCCACATCTGCTACTCTTGACTGCCCTCTTAACTTCCAAAAAAAACTCGTGGCCCTCAGCGATCTTCGCCTTAATTTTTCGCATGATGGCATGCTGAGCCTGACCGGTCTGCATCAGGGCCGACCAGACCAGCTAGTGGAACAGCCAGTGGTGCTCCCAGAGGTGCGCATTTCCTCAGCCCCAAGTTTGTGAACCCAGCTTGACCAAATGGTGCCTCTCATGAACAACAGCTGACTATACTTCAACCAATCCAGGACCCATGTTGAGCGAGTTTCAGCAGCCGTCGGGCTGTGGCCCTCATGTCCGCAGAAGGCCCCACGAGAAATGGCTACAGCGGCATACAGAAGAACATCTCTCTGCAACCTTGTGCGATGAATGACACACAATGACACCAAGAGGTCCCAATTCAATTCAGACGGCCAGACTGTCAGCGTACCGTCTGTCTCGTCATCTTGAAGACCAGGCCATCCTGCATATCATGGACTAGCAGTGACTAGCAGAGGCAAGTACGATTCTGACAGGGAAGGTTTGAACCTTGATCCTCCGCTGTCAGCACCTGCCGCAACAGACGCACACCCAGCAAGGTGGCAATTATCTCGGCATCTTACCAGTCGAATGCTTCCTCTTTTGCTTGTTGACCTTCGTCTGAGGAGACGGCCACACACATCATCTCTCCTGCAAAGAGCAGGGCTGCAGACTACTGCTCAAGTGTGACCAATGACTCGATGACTCAATGACTCATTCCACCACTTCGCCTCGCCGCATCTTGCAAACTTCCTGTGGCGCAAGACGTGCCAAAACTTGCCGCAAAAAACAAGCTATGACAGACCCATCGTCCTCGACGCGGAAGAGTGTATGTACAGCACAGGAAAGAATCGCCTGCAACCCAAGAAGTTTCTTCAACTGTTTGCAGCTTGCGGAGATGACGAACCAACGTGACACTGGCACATGCCCTGCAAACATCAGCAAATATGTTGAGGGCATCGCCTGCATACCAGGCATGACAGCTCGCAAAGCTCCCGTTTCAGGGAGCCTCACACGCACAGCCTCCAGCGTCAAGTGATCTAGACGACGAGTCTTGACGAGATCATTCTCAGATTACTGCCTGTCGGTCCAACACCATCTCGCCAGTTGCCTACCACCATTTGTCTCAGCATAGTCGTAGCAAACATGCCGAAGAAACACAGAGGCAACGCGCAAACGGTTGAGACTGCTGCCCTAGCTCGGTCTTTACATCAAGGGAATGCATGATACAAAAAAATGTCACACCCTGCTGTAAGCGATGTCGCCATCTAGCCCAGAACGAGCACTCCGTCTGACCTTGTGGAAAAGAAGCGTTGGACATCGCCCAAATGGCTCCTGTATGTCCTCGCACTGCCGACACTGTCCATCAACCTCACTACCTCACAAGAAAGAAAAACTTAAACTTCACTCCTCCGCCCAGTGGCAGCGCACTGCTTCAAACTCCTTGAGGTCACGTGGAATCATTTGAAGTGCGCCATGCCGTCGCCAAGAGTTGTCTCAAAGCATTTGCAGGCGTGCTTTTTGGAAACTGGCTCTACAAGAAGTCTGGATTGAAACACAACATGCGCCTCAAACCACAAGCTCATTCGCGCTTCTCGCAGGCTTGGGACGGGCTGCGCCTAGGGATGAAAGATGGGAACAGATGTGCCTCCACAGCAAGCTTCCACAGCAAATTTGTGGCCACTTCTTATGTACACACACAGAGCGTGCACGGTGTTCGAATACCCGCACTGCCCGCACCCTCATGACATGAGGTCAGGAAGCCACTTCTCTGTAATATCAAATCACTTCCGAAGAGCTAAGGGCAACAACCACTCAGAGTGCACTCCATACCCAGGTGCCCTGGTACTCGTCGTGCTCGGCTCTCAGGGGACGATCTTGCAGCTTGCGCAAAGCTGTCTTGATGTCGATCCCCTTGTGGATGACTTCGTAAACTGCCTCACATATGGGCATCTCGACACCTAGCTTTTCTGCAAGCAGGTGCACAGCAAGGCTCGTCTTCACTCCCTCTGCAACTGCTAGGTCCCGGTTGAAGTTGTTCGACTGCTTCTGGTCTTTTCGCTTGTCTTCTGGCAAACTCCTTGCAGCCATAGCCTGACCAACTGAATAATTTCGTGAAAGGCTGCTACTGCAGGTTAGCACGAGATCCCCGACACCTGCCAGTCCTGTAATCGTTGAAGCCTTTCCACCTTTCTTGACCACAAGGCGCGTCATTTCAGCTAGCCCTCTGGTAATCAGGGCCGCTCTGGCATTGGCCCCAAACCCGAATCCATCACTGGCCCCACAGGCGATGGCCAACACGTTTTTCAAGGCTCCACACAGCTCGGCCCCGATCACATCCGCAGCAGTGTAAACACGAAAGTTTCGTGTCGCCAGTGCCAACTGAATCTGCTTCGCGACTTCGATATCCTGTGCCGCACAGGTCACGCTTGTTGGCAAACCAACGCCGATTTCTTTTGCAAAAGATGGGCCACTCACGACCGCCAGCTTGGCATGATACTTTCCCGGCAGCTCATCCACCAGGATCTCGTATGGAGTGCGGAGGCTTTGCTGCTCAATCCCTTTGCTAAAACAGACCAATGGAACCTGCCAAGGGAGCATTGGCTGGTTTTGTTCCAGCCACTTGGCAATGAAAGGGGTGGGGATGATGAGGAAGAGTAGCTCAGCTTCTGAGACAGCCTCGGCAACACTTCCGGTTGCCACGATTTTCTCACTGAGCGGAACCCCGGCAAGAAAGGTGCTGTTCTCATGCTTGCTGTTGATGCTTTGAACGACCTCCTCCTCCCTGGCCCACAAGCTGACAAAGATGCCCTTGCTGGCAACATGGTTTGCCATAGCTGTACCAAAAGCGCCTCCACCAAGCACCGCAACCTTTCGAACCGAAGCCTTCGAAGCTTCTGTCAAAGGCTCTTCCGCCTCCTGAGAGGTTGGGCTCTGCCTGTTCCCACCATCAGGCGTCTTCATACTTGTGATTTTTGAAACTGTCTGTGTCGACTACAAGACAACTTGGTCTCAAACAAACACACACAAGCCTTTAGCACAACTGACACCTAAGCACACACCATGCCAATCAGACAAGCGCAACATGCCAATGCTGCACGCCAAAAGCTTTGAGCCACACAAGACACAAAGCCTCATCCACCAGCATTTGTGCATGCATTAAGTTGGGCGATCAGCTGCCGATTCCCGCGTCCTCCTTCTCGAAATCACATGTTCCAACATCATGTGCCTCGGGTCTCAATACTGCCCTTCGAATGCAGGTTGACACCACAAAAACATATCACCGCAAGCTGCGTGCTTCAAAGCGTTGCAAAACATTACACCACCGAAGACCCCAAACAGTCAAAGAAACAGTGGAGACAACGGGAGACAAAGGGAGACGAAGGGAGACAAAGGAAGAAAAGGAAGACAAAGGGAAACGAGGAGCACAGCAACCCGGCAAAGCCACCCACATGGAGGAAGGGAGACAAAGGAAGACAAGGAGCCCAGGAACCCGGCAACAGTCCTCAGAATGTCGGCAATCCTTAAATGAGTGTAGAACCCTACAATAGACTGTTTACAATAGACTGTTTGGGAACATATACTTCCGACAACTCCATTCTTCCTGCAAAACCGCCTTCACGTTGCCGCGCCGACTCTTGGGCTTGAAGTGAACGTGACATCAGTACAAGGAATTGGATCCGCTTTATGTTTGTTGGCTCCAAACTTCGCCGCAGGAGGATACTACCAAAAGGCACAAATTGTCATCTTAATCCTTTTTTGCCCTTATATCTTGAAGCCCGATGTGCTGGCCAGCCACTCCGAAGATGGGGTATGTGGCTTGAATGTCTTTACAAACAACGTCAAATTGTGACCATGATCCCCAAACCCCGGCCTACAAACACAATCGTTGCAGGCAGGAAGGGGCCTCTTGCACGACAGTTCCCTGATCCATGGCATTCGGCCATCGCACGTACAAGAAGCAAAGCTGAGTAAACGTCTACTGTTGCTAACAGCCGGGCTACAGAATTGGCATGCTCATTGGTCATTTGACATTTTGACCCCAAGTTGATCACAAGTTATCACGTTTGTAGTCGAAGCAATTCAGCTGGAACGCATGTTTATGTGAGCAAGACAACTCTTGTGGGATTACTATTGCCGACTCATCACGGCGCACAAAAGCGGTTCTGAAACATACGGTGAAATCGGAGCTGCTAAGGTCTGTGGCTGGGCCTGCGAAACATGGGATTGTGAGGTTGCTCATGGAATCCCGACTGTATTGGGAACCTGCCTGCTGTCTCAAAACCGAATGGGAAGCAACATGCACGATCAACTGTTCGTTCGATGTGAGTGAGGACATGCTAGACATTACACTTGACATCAAAAAGATGCACATTTACACGGTCTACATATTGCACTTGAATGGTTGCACAATGAAAAGGTATCATCTGATGTGAACACAATTTGGATCAACAAAAGCGGGCGGAAGCAAGTTTGCACTTTGTATCGTTTTACATCATAAAGCGACGGTAAAGCAAACCGGTGGTCTTCATTTATGGCTATCCACCGGGCAACTACAGCGATTCCAACGAGCTTTGCGAGGCCTTCGGGAGAAGATGGGGGCCCAAAAAGAAGCGTAGAGGCACAGAGACGTACTACATTTGTACTACAAAAAAAACGATTTTAAAGGGGAAAGAGGGGGGCTCCAACAATGCGCGCGCGTTCGACCGCAGGGGCACAAAGGAGCATTATGTTTGTACTACGAAAGGACGATGGTAAAGGGGATGGGGGGGCCTAAAACTGCGTGCGCGCAAGCGCAGAAGCACATACAAGTACTTCCGTTTGTACTGCAAAAAGACGATTTTGAAGGGGAAGGGGGCGGGGAGGCCCGTGCCTGCTGAAATCACGTTCCGCTCCGGGTCGAGGTCTTCCAAAACACTCTTGAACGCCAAAAACCGAAAAACACGTACCCCGATGCAGTTCCGCGGCCAATCAAGATCACTCCACTAGGTTTTCCCTGTGCATTGAAAAAAACGTCCGTAGGCATCATGTGATCGAAAAGCAGAGCTGCCACCACGTTCAAACCTTTGTGTCGACATCAGCACAAGATACTGAGTTGTTGGAAGTTTGTTCATGAAAAAAACATCTTTCGGATTTCTTTTTGAACTTAACGCACAGTGATTTTGAACTACTCATTGTTAACGTATCATCAGCCAGCCACCAATTGAAACCAAAAGTTCTTTTTGGCAGCGAACCCTTGTATGCGTCAGCAATTCAGTGGGCGGTTTATACCACTCATGAAGCGAGACTGCAAAAGAGCGGAACTGAGCGCACCGAGAGCAAGGCAAAGCAACAACAAGCAACCAGCACCCGCAACCGACAAGGTGAACTCATTCCCGCGACAACGCTGGGCTTTGGGTAAACTGACCGACATGAACACACCAGCTATGATGCCCCGCTCAGTACAGCTCTCACTAGCAAACTTTGGCTGCTAGAGACAACGGATCGTGCGTTTAACATCGTTTAGCGCTCGTGGACGATGCGCGTCTTGCCATCCATGGACTCTGCAGGCGATAAGTGGGCTCATTGATGGCTTTGAAAAAAACCCAATAAGGAGAAGTCAGTCTGCCTTAAAGCGGTTGTGGACCGCGGCTGTGATCAATTGGTGGCGCGTTAAGCCCTATCATCCATTGTTAGTCTGGCCAGTTTCCCTTGTTCCTTGGCTGTTAAGCTCGGATAGCTCCGGCTTAAGGAGTTTTGCTGTCATGAATCAGGAGAGAGTTGCGCAAAAGCACGCTTGCGAATGTTTTGCACAGTACACATTTGGACACTTGAGGGACGCGCTTCTCGCACGTGTTCCGTCATCACAGAGTACAAAAAAATATCTGAAAGGTGGATGCTTTGCGCGCATTCCACGCAAGAAATCTTGCGTATTAGCAGCTCTGACCTCAATATTGTCTCCTCATTATCAATCCAAGCAAGACGGTCAAGGCGCACTTTCCTCTGTTTTGCGCATTCTCGCTCCTCTGCAATCTTCAGGCGGGATATGAAATTGGCGACCTCCCTTGCATTCCTTTTAGGAAGCTTTCCTCAAAAGTATCATGACGACTACCTGCATTGGATTTGCGATTGATAGGCAGGGGAACACCGAATTCATCCATCGGTGCCCACAAGGACCTACACGCCGCATCCCTCTAAGCCTGCCTAAACTTATAGCATCTCTTATGTCCCTGATGTTGACGACCTTGTCAAATACACCGCCATAGCTATCTCCGGCTTTAACGGATTTTTCGAGCAAACAACCAATGATCTGTCGCGAACCTTTGCTCTTGTATTTTGCAGGGAGAGGGGGGATATCGTTTTTCTTGCGCGGCGGGGGGTCCGGGGTCCGGGTCCGGTCGGGTCCGGGTCCGGGTCCGGGTCCAGGTCCGGGGTCTGGGTGTGGGTCCGGGTCCGGGGTCAGGGTCCGGGTCCGGGTCCGGGTCCAGTCAGGGCCCACTCCGGGTCCGGGTCCGGGTCGGGTCTGCGGGTCCTGTCCGGGTCCGGGTCCGGGAAAATCCGGCTGTGTTTGCCCGCTCTTTTGAAGCCGTGCAAGCTTGCTTCAAAGCCTGTTTTGCACACATCACGCGATCGTTGTGTTCGAAAGTGGCGGGGCTGCGATCATGGTGTTGCAAATGGGGGCGGCTGCGCCCCCCCCAACCCCCCCGCTTTTGTTAAGCTGTGCAAGCTGAGTCTTCTTTAAACCCTTAACCCGAAACCCCCTTGGCCTCAAGTGCAAGGCTCCTTAAACTCTAACCCCGAAACCCTAAACCCCACAGCCTCAAGTGCAAGGCCAGTAGACTTCTACCTTTAAAACCCATATATAATACATAAAATATATTAAAAGTTAAACATAGAACAGTATATATATATATACACACATACAGAATATAATTAATAGATGTCATATAATAGATTATATTATATTATAATATAATATATTATGATATAATATATTATAACATAACATAACATAACATAATATAATATAATATAATATAATATAATATAATATAATTAATATCACATAATTTAATATGATACAATTTCATATGATATAATATAATATACGAAATATTGTATATAAATAAATTTTTATTGTAATATGTTATATTCTACACAGGTCCAATTCCGGGTCCGGTGAAGGTCCGTATCCGGGTCCGGGTCCGTGCTGTCCGGGTCCGATTCCGGGTCCGGGTCCGGGTCGGGGGGGGGGGGGTACGGACGTTGAGGCGCGAGAAAAGCGACATTATGGGGAAAGGAAACATCCTCTCCATGCACCGAAAATACCAATAGACACGTTGACTACCTGCAGATCAAGGATATAAAGCAGGATGCTCTCCAGGAGCTCGTGACGAGCTTCATGGTCTTCAGGAGCCTGCAATTGCTAAGGCCATACAAAATTCTAGCCAAATCGAACTTCAGGTCTGGTCAAGCTTGTCGCCATCCCTTGCCCATTTGCGCACACGTGTGTTGCGAGCAAATTTCGCGCCTCGAAATCGCCTGAAATTGTGCTCCTGTGAGGCCTCAAACTGTATCCTGATGCATTTCAGCGTCGATGCAGAGTAGGACCTCGTACTCATCGAAACGTGGATCCTGGATCCTCTCAGTTGCATTGTAGCGTGGCGTGGGGTATCCTTCCTTAGAAAGAGCCAGGCTCCTTCCTCAGGCTCGTATCGAAAGGATTTAGTTGCGTCAGAAAAGGATTCTCTTAGGGCGGCGGAGGTTTGGATGTCCATGGAGGGCTCGACAACAATCAAATGGAAGGCTCCCTCCAACCCCCGCTCTTTTGATTACGTCAGAAAAATTTGTCGTAC